ATACTAACTATAAAAGATGAATTTAAATATGTATTTTAGTTTTATCTTTATCTATAATTTAAGTCCGTAGCCGATAGAAGTGCTTTCACCCACTGATATGCATGGTCAAGTTTTGAGAATTTAGAAAAAAAAAGTTCTTGTAAATATTTATTTTGCACAATATATTCAATATGTTAACGTAGATCAAAAATATTATTATAGACAGGAATCTGTAGATTTCTGTGATCATAGACAATATTTTTTTTTTAATATTCTTTTTTCCTTTCTTGCGGCGAAGCAGAAAAATTTATAAAGTGCGTTTTCTCTATGCTTTACCTGCGTTTAGTCTATGGTTTCACAAAGTAAGGCTAAAGCCTTATTCTAGTCTATATTTCAGATACAATGGTGTACTTATATTGTTCTCTTGTATTATATATAAATGAAATTAGTAGGTACCTTACATTTTATAGTATAGAGTATGTGAAATGATATACGAGTATATCAAGGTATTACTCGTACATTGCACAGTGATGAAAAGAAATATAATTTTCACTATTAGTTTTTTGCGATGAATTTGATTTAGTAGTTAGTAATCCCGATTATGGAATCAGAGGTCATGAGTTTGATTACCACTTACGACAAATAATTGTGTGATAAACACGATTATTTATTCTATGTTTTACTGGCCTGTTGGCTTGTGACCCTGAATGCTCAGCCAGAGGTCGTGGGTTCGATTCCCACCTAGGACAAATAAATGTGTAACAAGCTCCATCATTTGTACTGTGTCTGGATGTAATTTATCAATAATATCTATGTTTTTAGAAAAATATAATTAAGTTTATCAGTAGTCTGGTTACCACAGTGCAGGCTGTGCCTAGGTTTGTGATCAAACGACCGTGTGCGAGATACGTCAAGTTATTATTGTTATGTAACTCACCTATAAAATTTGTATTCTGATAATATATAAATACGTTTGGTTACTGGCTTTCTCTAGTTTGGAATCTCACGGCCAATGCTCCAAATCCGTAGTCTTTATTAAATATGAAGAATACTATCGAAAGTTTATTTAACATAATTACAGCGAGAATTTAAAGCATTTATGTATAAAATTAAACACTAATTTTCATCATTCAGAAGCAAACACGAGCCAAACGTCTCGCAGTAGTAATATACAGTACTTAGAAGTTGTTAATGAGTTGAAGTACTGCAGGCCTATTAAATTTAAAACACAAAAGTAAATGTTTAAAACATGGCCTTCTGTAATGATCCAAGTATTCATTTATTGTATTCCACGAGTTTCATGCTTTTCGAAGAATTAAAAAATAATGCATCCTTAAAATGAAGGCTTTCGCGCAAATCAATGCAGTCGGAGCATGAATAATTCAAGATTTAGCAAGTATAATAACATCTTTTGAATTCATTTATTCTAAAAAGACATTGTAATCTTTGACGCCATTCCGTCTCATGATTTCGTCTTACAGATATATAATTGTAAAATGTTAATACGCAACGATAACTATTTATTGACATGGATCTTTGGTAATAATTTATACGACTAAGCATATGGAACATAAAAAGAAACTCCTTAATTGTAATAGAGTTAAGCAAACTAAAAGTCCAGTTGAATTGAGAACCTCCTCTTTTTTGAAGTCGGTAAAAAAAATATATTGACGTTATTACATTGGGCATGATGTACGAAGTCATGCCACACTAATTATATAAGTGTATTAATTGAGGTATATCCTTATATATTGATTGATTTACTAGTTAATGACCCGGAATATTAATTTTGTAGTATTTAGTTTTTATTAGATATGCTAACTATACCATTCCTCTTTTAGGTAAACCCGTATTTAGACAATTATTTAAAATAAACATGGCACAGCCAGCAATAAATGGCTACATAGTTATTTGCAGAATGTTAAATTTAGGCACATAATTACTTAACTTCAGCAAATAAAGGCATAAACATAATTCATTGCATATTTAGTTACGTTTATTGCTGTTTTAATTATTAACATCATGAACGAAGACGATTTCTTTGAGGTTTAAGTAAGTAACTAACGTATGACTCAACAAGACACTTACGGATTACTAATAAATGGGGTTGGAAAAGACAAATAAAAGAGTATTTTTTCTTCATGACAATAACATAAAACGGAGAGATGGAGTAAATATTAAATAAATAAAAAAAAATGAAAAAAATGACGTTAATCGCATGCACTCCGTAAAAAGCAAGGAAAGACATGCTTAACATCGGTTTTCTGTGAGTTACTCCTGTAGAGCCCTACCATATTTGCCCCAGATGATTCTCCCACGGTTAAAAATCAATAAATCATTACTATACTATTATAATACTATTATACTATTTTAATAGTATAAATATTGTCTCAAAAGTCACATATGGTCATGTGTCAGCGTCCTTAGATATTCAAGGGCAAAGGTCCCGAAAATCGGTTTCCTTTACATTTAATAACAACTACAACAAGGAATAATTAAGTTAAAAAAAACATATAATAGACTTGGATTCACGATTGTCCTTGCACTAAGGCACGTATAGCTGAGCGCTTTATTTTCTGCGCCCTCTATTTTAAAAACGTTTCAAAGTAATATATAGTAGTAGTTATATATATATGTATATAAAGGTTTCAGGCGAAATTATAAAGAATTTTATCTTCTACAACTGTTACATTAAATGTAAATACGACTGAGATAAAGGAAACGGTATAATCTCAAAAAACTGATTCTTGGGACATTTGACCTTGAATATCTAAGAACACTGACACGTGTCTTTTATGTAACTTCCATATGTGACTTTTGAGATAATATTTGTACTATCAAAAACAAAGGTTTGTTATTCAGCTTATTCCGTTAGATTCCGAGGTAAAACTCAAAGATGACTGGGCTAACAGGGCTGTTAAGGGAGGGAATGTAGACTTTTTCAATTTGCATTCTTAAAGTAGGATATAACAATTGGAATGGTACAAATGGAATTGTATTCTATATAAATCCCAGACCTTATCTGTTTTATTTAATTTCCTGGTAGAGACAATCAAATATCTAAAGCTAAGAATATAAAATCATAAAGTACTGAATTTACATGAACAATATAAAAAATTGTAGGGCTAAACTTATAGCTACATTTGCACATTAAGCAACAAATTATTTGACTTGAGCCTTCGGAAACGTGACAAACACTCACTTATCTCGTCTTTGCTCAAATAATGCACGTTTACTTAACCTAGCTTCAACATATTTTCGTTTGTTTAAAACCCACAGTGTGGTCTAACAGCCTATTTGACAACGTCATGGATGTTCAACTACTTTAGCATGTTGGACTAAGTTGAGATCAATATTTTGCATTTTGATGTTTGTATGTGCTTCATCTAATACGTTAAGGATGTCTTTTCATGTCATTGAATATTTTTTTTGCATCGAGTTTGCTATAATATTTGAGAATGACGTGTATTTTATGTCTAGATATCTATATAGGGTATACTAAGTTGGAGTTAAAAAAGCTTGTGCCTTTAAATTTATTTTAAAACTTACCAAATTTTAGAAATTGTGGGACTAGCAAACTTGTGTTATAAAGAAGTATTAATTATTAAAGTTTGAACTGCTTTTGATATCCCTATTATAATCATGAAATCACCGGTTACAAATCTGTCACTATCATTATTGTAAACGTAATTGAAAGGGAATATTGGACGTAATTGAAAGGGCAAGTATGTATATTTTAGTTTATGAACTCCAATTTTTACTGCTTTTAAATACATGGCATAATTGCGTGCAAAATAAAAATCATGAGACCATGAAACACCCACGTATTAATTAGGAGAAGTTCATGTATTAAAAAATTAAAATAATGAGGAAAAGATGTTTATTTGAAAATATTTATTTTTCACGTTTAATCTCATATTATTCTGTTAGTTAAAACTTAAAGATATATTAAATTTAAATTATATAAATATTAAAATTATATAATTGTTATAGTAAATTATTTTTTTGCTTTTTATTATGTTATCAAAGTTCGTTCATCTTAATAAATTATACACTTTCATTAATTTTTGTCAAGCAAAACAAATATTTATATAAAAATTTAAAATTCAGAAAATAAGTAATCTTAGATAGAATACTTTTTTTTCTGAATTTTATATGTAGATACTATGTGAATCATTGATGCTTGCGAAATCTAGATCTGGATACTAGAGGTTGACAGGATTTTATTATTTTAAAGAGGAGCCAAGAAGAAGAGCAATTCGTACATATGAACCGTACATGGTGATAGATTACTGTAGAAGACATGAAGCAGAAAGTTAAATGATAAAGAAGCAAGAACTAATCTAGTTCTTTCCGAACTGCAAATAGTAAACTGTAAAAGTGCTTGGACCACATTGATGGAGGTAACGTAAGATTTTTTAAATTTATCATTATATTATTAAAAAAATGTTGATGACCTGAATGTTATTGTCACAAATTCTCGAAAGAGCAAATAGGCCCATATTCAAAATACTAATCAGTCGGCCATACTCACTAATACGAGTGAGTTATGAGTATAGTATATGTATATAGTATAATATATATATATATATGGTATAATTCATATATGTAATGATATATGTATATATAGTATAATTCATAATTTTATTGTAAAACGTATTATTAGTACTAAGAAATTTGCTACTCAAGTGGTAGTATTTAGCAGGTAGTTTTTAATCATAAATAAGGTATTTCATGAGCATGTAACTCATTCATATTTCTTTACAACGTGGGCGGAACGTAAAGATCATAATGACGAACAATTGAAGGTGCTATTCACGGTGTGGTGCTATGACCATATTAGTAAATGGTCGAAATAAGTATGTACATAAGTATTTATTACCTAGAGATTGCCTGACGATCGAATTTCATATAAACATTAAATAATATATATATGATATAATTCCGTAATATATAATTGTTTAAAAAGAGGTACAAAGAAGTTTATTTACGTATTAATATATATATATAGTTAGTCTTACAGGTATTTGGTAGTAGGAGCCGTTGTTGGTCGTTCGGTACGAAGTGAGTGGCACAACAGGCACTGAACCGTTGCGCAGGAGTATTGGACCTTGCAACGGAGTCACAGGCGGTTGCCCTGAATCTGAAATGAATAAATCATGTTCGATTATGCAAAATATAACATAGAAATATTTAAAAAAGAATTCTTAAGTAATTTAATTTTTAACTTTTTAAAATATTTGAAACGTCACGTAAATTTTTACATAGGCAATAGAAAGCGTGGGAATTGAAACCCTAGTAAAGATCACGTTCCTTTTGAATTAAAACTTCTAGGACAAAACACGTCACGACTGACGACATACTTAAATAATACATATCAATTTATGGATTGAAACCTCATACATTTTGCATGTTAATCTAATTATAAGAATGAAGTTTTAAGATGTAGCAGTTTAAAATAAGGATCAAAGATATAAAAATCACAGATATGTTTATTTTTTATACGGACAAAGACACCGACATAAGCTATACATAAAAAGGAAACATAGAAGTTATTTTCTGTTATCTGTAGGTATTAATAATCATGTTACAGATCTTATTAGATCTACATATTATTTATTAATCGCTTATTTGTAGTGATCTGCATGTTCTTCTGCCTGCGTTTTCTTTGCAGCTCTTTAATAAATATATCCTGTGTTGCGGGGTACTTTACCAACATACATGTAACGGACACAGAGAACACCCAGTTTCAGAACAACAATTTGTGGATCACACAAAGTGTTTTCCCATGTAAGGATCGAACACAACACGCAGCGCAGTAAGAAGCGGTGAGGTGACCGCTTAAGCCAGGGCGCCATCTATGCAGTCGTTATGCTCTAGTATCGGTATTTTCTTAGTACAAGATAAACCAGAAGTAAAGTCAGCTGCTTTTGTACTAGCGCATTTGACGTAAACTAATTTAGAATGAAAATTCCTTGTCTTTCCTTAGTCTGTCTGTAAATTTTTTGAGTTTACTAATAACATATTTGTATTACTCAGTTTATTTAATAACATATTTCTTGATTTAGTCTGTCACATTAAAAATGAAAGAAGGAAAAAGAAAAAGTATGTATACAGAAGCCTTAACAACTGGTCTCTTGTGATCGGAATTCACTTTGAAATTAATTTAGTTAATATATCGAATTAAGACGCATATTAAAAAATTCAATTAGTAGACTGTTTTCATTTCATGCAGACTTATCACGTGACATCAAATAGTGCAGACCGATTTGTATCGCTTGATTAGGTGAAGTGGAATTTGTAAAACAACGTGAGTAATTTCATCACACCATGTGTTGAAGGCGCGTCACAACAACCGGGTCAGGTTGCGAAACTACTAATCTCTTGAGTAAGGTCATGTTGTCTTCGTCGGGGCAACAAGGAAAGTAAGAAAATAATGCTTTACGACTCTTAAAAGTTTTTACAAAGAATTTACGTATTGTGATTCTTATGCATTGAATTTCTTTATCCCTGGTCTTGTTTTGTTCAACTTCATATAAACAAAATTTATTAAGAAAGATCTAATAACCGATGACTAATAATATAAACATAAATTGTAATCAGCTCTTTTTGTGCAAAGTTGATGGTGTCTATCAGCTGTACTATCTTCGCACGATAAAAAAATATAAATAATGAGTGTATAGTTGCTTTACATATTTCAAAGAAAATGAAAGTGTGTAAACCTGGATTTTCTAATAAGTTGCTATAAAGTTATTATCAACATTTAATACAAATCTAGAAAAAAAAACAGTTTAAACAATTAACTTTGCAAATAAACTCTAAAAGAAAGAAAGAAGAAAAGAAATGAAACTAATTGTTTGGTTATCAGGCCTTGTTAATAGCCTTTTTATCGCCGCCAATGAACGTCTGCAAGTCAGGAGTCAAAAACATAGGAGTTCCCACACAGGAGGGGGTCATCTACACGTCGTAGATGGCCCAGGGTACGTCGGGGTACCAGGGATTTCCTTTCTAGGATACACCTGGTTCTACGGCTACTGGTACCCGAGACGGCGTGCGATTTTTAGTCGGTTCGAGTCCGACATAGCCACCCCGGTAGGTGGTATCCGAGGGGATTTCTGTACGGAAAAAAAAGGCCTTGTTATTAGCCAAAATACTACCTACCTACTACTATACTAATTTTAATACTAATTACAAATAACTGTAATATTTTCTACGATCATATTAATAATAAGTTAGTACAGCATATGTAAAACATTAATACATATTTTCATGGGGGGCTGGAATCTGCACTAGGAGACAGGTATTACAGATTACCAGACTCTCCAGACTGTTGACAGCGGCAAGTGTGGTGGGAGGAGCTAAAGAATAAATGTCTGCATAATTAATGGGTGAGAGTATGTGTGTGTGTGTGTGTGTGTGTGTGTGTGTGTGTGCGTGTGCGTGTGCGTGTACGTGTGCGAAATTATAACTATGTAAAAAATTGTGTAAGATATTATATCGTCTATCTAAGCCGTCTAGATCTTTAAGAAAGGTCTATCACCATATTCAAGAGGTTCTATCTTAATATAATGTAAAAAAAAATTGGAAGCTCTCAGGTCGTTTAATTAAATCAGAATGCCCATTGTTCATATCTTAAGGCGTCGTGCTGGTTATTTAATCAATTTGCAAAGTGTTGATTACTGGACAAACAATTACAAGTTTGTCGTCTGACGACATGCTAGCTAGTAGTTAGCAGTGGCTAGTATTCAGATTTAATAATAACAAAAAACAAAAATAGGAAACTCAATAAATTACTCAAAATTGTCACACATATGACCTACAAAAGCTGATAACCTCTTCGTTTACGAAGTTGGTTACAAGTAATTAAAACTTTTCGAAGTAATATAACGAACTCGTGTAACGTACGAGTTGCTGTCTAAGTTTTGGTAACTATCTAAGTCGTAATGATGAATGATTGCCAATAATACACATCTGACTATTTCAACATTTGGCCTTTACTTATCTCACCTAATGAGTGCTCTAACAGTGCCATTTGTCTTGCATTGATATCGGTTATTCTGTTGATCTTGATTACAAAACATTAAAGTCTGTAGGTATTTTGTTTTCAGTTGTGTTTTTATTTGTGAAACAGATTTAATTTGTATCGCTTATTAGTTATTGATCTATTTTTTTTTGTGTTGAAACTTATTTTTTGGATCACCCAAAATGTCGATATCGCTGTTATTTTATCTTAATAACTATTTCTGAAGGTTTTTAAATCTTTTCTTAAAAATAATTGGCCGATAAGTGAAAGCTTTATTTATTGTGATATGATTTTTTACAGATTACGAGTCGTGAGTTAGTTTTTATATATGCTATTGTATACCATTATGCCATTACATGTCGGGAAATGTTTATTAATTTTACACACACATATGTATATACATACATATATGTAAAGGTTCGATATACTTAAAATGAGTATTGACTCTGAACATTGTTTTCTAAGGCCCGTATTTTAAAAGACGTCTCAAGTATCGGTTGAACTCTGATTGCCTGAAACTCAACACATCTGAACAGATCAAATCTTAAGTATCAACCTTATTATAGAACGCGTTTTAAGTTTTACTCAGTTGAAACTACTTTCAAGTATTGATTTGAAATTACAGTCTATTCTCAATTACGTCTCCGCATGATCGACATTCTATCATTATATTCAATATCACACAGGTTATTAAAAAAAAACTTTTACAGACATAACTGCTGTCAATTTGTATATAGTATACTATTGGCTAGTGTAGCAATAAACTGATTAACACCCTTGTTGTTTGTCTAAAAATAAATATAATAAATATTAAAATAAAAATGACTTGTTATACTCGTAAGCTATAACGGAACGTTCAAGTTATTTATCAACACTTATCGTGTTGAATTATCAAACAACATTTTTATTTTTATATTTCTAAAATTTATATTACTAGAATAATGTTATACCTATAACATAAAGCAAAAGGTTCTGATGATTTTAATTTAAACAAATATTGTGTGTATAAAATGTGAATTTCAGTGAATTTAATATCAATTAAGGTAAATTAAAGTGAATTGATTATGAATGACAAGTAAACTCAAACTCTGAACTCGTGAACTCGACTGTGGCGTCCCTCAAGGTGGCAATGTCTCTTTTCTATTATTTTCAATATTTATCAATCTCATCACTCCGAACCTTCCACGCGCGTACCATCTTTATGCCGATTACTTGCAGTTCTATTATCAAGCCTCGATACACGACATAGACTGGGGCATCCCGAGGGTAAACAACGACCTGTTACTAATGACGGTTAATAATGATTGGGCTTATAGGTTTGGTTTGACTGTTAACCTAGTAAAGAGTCAAGCTATCGTCATAGGCAGTCAATACAATACATGACTTTGATTTGATTCTGGACACCCTAACAGGTTCAATACAACCTTAAAGTTTTATATATTATCAATATGTAATGATAATATATAAAACATGTATTTTTTACGTTTGTATGTATGTATTTATCTCAGTATTTCTGTCTAACTTCTCAATAATTTTCTCTTACTTTACATATCAATCTCTAGTGCACCTAGTCACACATTTCAGCACCACCCTAAGGTACACTGGGAGAAAAAGCATGTGGCATAAAGTCCGCCATTATACAACCCACACTTGTGCATAAAGTATTAAAATAAATAATTCTTTCGTAAATAAAGTAAAGTAAATCTTTCGTAATTATTTAGACACAGATCATAGTAAACCACATTCATTTCCCCTAAAATGCTCTAGAAATCACTGTTTGAGACTAGTCTCAGTTTATCTCACGTAAAAAAAGATCACATCTGTCAAAATCTATATCTGAGTAAAGATTTGACATTAACATCGTTCTAAAATAAGCTATCACTCACTTGAGTATGGATCGCTGAAACTCGTTTTAAGTGACGTTCAATAATAAAATCTTTACCTAAAATTAGTTTCAAGACTAGATTCACCACTGAGACACCTTTTGAAATACGGATAATTTAATAAGTGTGTTCAAACTTTCGCGACAGCGATATGTACAGTGCCTATAGACAGCACGTCTTAATCATTACATCATCTTATCTGTGGTCTTTTATTTCCAGAGTCATATCTCCATGCAA